ATGTTGAAACAACCACGCTGCTGTGTCGAACCTGTTACCTAAACACACCATTACTTTAAAAAGGTTTCCCTATGTTTATTATTGGAATACGAGTTTCACGGCGATCTGATGATGCTAACGTTGTTTAATTTCTGTGTCCTCAGTTTGTGTTCCTCACATACATCCTGGGTGTGGCCTGGCTTGGTGTGTTCGGCTTCTCCGCTGTGCCAGTCTTCCTCTTCTACAACATGTGGTCTACCTGTGCCACCATGAGGTCCCCCATGGCCAACCTCACCAACATTGACTCTATCTGTGTGGATGTTCGTCAGTATGGTAAGAGAATAGCGCTCTTCCCAGGAACGTTTTTATAAATTCACACACAGAGGTGGCTTCCAATACAATATTCAAAATTAGCGGGTCCCAACATTTTTTTGAGCCACCTGTTGCAATTCTTCTGACTGGGACCACTTCAACCAAATATCCATGTAATTCACAAGAAAAAAAGCGAAGTTAAGAAGAAAATCTAAAAAACAACACGACTTTCCATGGCATAATTTTTTTATTTTCTGCTTTTCCAATCTTTATTTATCTTGGGACCCCTAGGTTGCGGACCTTTATTAAAAATAATAAATGATAATTCCACTCGATTGCATCTTTCATTACACCCTCCTTGACTGACATGCCCTGGATTTTACACACACACATTTGTAATGCATGCCTTCCATTTAAATTTGAACATCGTCTGTTATGTTATTCCCTCAGACCTGACAAAGCTCCTCCAGAACCATAGTAGATGCGATATAACTGTTATTATACTTATTAACAGTTATTTACTGTTAATCTGGCTTAGGAGTTACCTGATCTTCATTTGTAAAATCGATGGAGTGCTCTTTAAATCTAAGTATAAATCCAAATAATTCAAAACCTTTCAATTTCATGGCTACAGGAATTATCCCATGGAACGCCACACCAGGCAAGGCCTGTGGATCTACGCTAGGTGACATCTGCAACACCAGCGAGGTAAGAGGTTATCTTCGATCCACACACATTCATACAAATGCCATGCACACAACAGAGACGGAGCGGAGGAGCTGAAGAGTAATCAGCATTGCTTGTCTATTTCCAGTTCTACCTGTCTTATCACCTGTACATCGTAGCGTGCGCCGGGGCTGGAGCCACTGTGATCGCTCTGGTAAGCTTCCCTCCAGTCTCTCCATCCTTTCCCTTTAGCCCATCTTTGCACGGTTTGTATCAGCAGATCATGTGTCAAGTGCTCCTCTTCTCATTCCCATATGGTTTATGTAACTGCACCAATGAAGATTACACATAGGCTTTTCCTCAGCTCCAGTTCCATTTGCTGTTTACCATCTGCTTAGATGCACATGGCCCTGTTTTTTATTTTAGGATGGGTAGAAGAGAGTGTAGTTTGAGCTTGCTTTTTGTATGACGTATTTTCTAAAAATCTTAATCATGACTTTGGACCATAAAATCACAAGTAGGGGATTGTAAAATTATACTTTAACATTTGTTTCCTTTTTTAAAATTCTTTGATAAATGATTGGTCACTTTACTAACTTGTCATAGTGACGAGGAGGTCACGGCATGTACTCTTACAACCTTTTCTGTTCTCTTCCACCAGCTGATCTACATGATGGCTACCACTTATAATTTTGCTGTTTTGAAGTTTAAGAGTCGAGAAGACTGCTGCACTAAGTTTTAAACTGTTTTTAAGAACAAGCACAGCATTTGAGGCTGTACTGAGTAGAGACAGCCACTGACAACAAAAGAACTAAAAAAACAAACAAAAAAAACCCAACAACCTGAGAATAGAAATATCAACATCTCTCGATTAGTGTAAATAGCTGATTGTATGCTTCCTTTAGCATTTGGTATCCAGGGATATTGCTTGTCTGATGACACCTGATGGAAGTTGTCTTCAGATTGGGGTGGTGTTTAGTTGACTGGTTTGTTCTGCTTTCCTTGGCACTCACTTTAAAATTTGTCACCATCAGATTTTATAGAAAATGTGCACAGCTAGAAATCCACAACAGTGTTATTTATATTCATAATATGTGAAGCTGATTCCGACCCGCACAAAAGCATCAACTGCATAAGTATTTCACAAAAAACCTACAGTATTATGCATGCAGTTCCTCACACTTGCACAACAGGACGAGCCTCCAATGACTGCCGTCGGAGCTGAAATGCAAATTTTAAAAAATGAACTAAATTGGAAACGAGAGCCTTCTTAGGTCTGATAAAGACACACACACACTGCACCAAGCCCATGTAGATGTACAGTATAAAGCTCTGAAATGAGTCCATGTGGACATCTGATGACAAATATTAAAGGTGTTCTCAGGCTTTATGTTTTTGATTGCCAGATTAGCAGTTTTGGTGAGGATGAATTCTAGTGATACATTTGTAAAAAAGGACTAGCTACAGTTGCCAAGTGCCTTGTCCTTTTATATTTCTTTGGTTTCTTTCCTTAGCCGTAAAATTGTGGCACCCACCCATGAAACCACAAAGTGTTACACAGAAAATATTCAGTATTATTTCTTTTTGTCACAAGTTAGATTCTAAACTAAACTAAAAAAAACCTTTCATCAACTGTATAATGCAGAGGAGTATTACGGTGACCAGTTGTTTGTTGTAGATTTCAAAGTAACTGCACATACCTAGCACATCACGCTATGAAGGGTTAGGCCAGTACCAGGGGTATACTTCTGCATGAGGCCCTAAGCCTCACTTTAATTTCATGTATTTTATAAAAAATAAAAAAAATCTCCTATTTTAGAGTAGAGTAAATGTATTTTTTTCTATGAGGGCTGACGCTGGTATAGCCTCAGCTATGAAGTTGATGTTTTGTTTCATACATTTTCCTCTATTCTTTCTCAAAGTGCCATTAAAGAGCCATTTGTTTTTATCTTAACACTGAGCCTGCATGCTTACATTTTTCAGATTCTTTGATCTGTTTATAGTTACTTATACTCCATATTTCATATATTTAATTTTCTCCTAAGTTTTTCAAGACTGTAGCTTTTACTTTCTATATAAAAATAAACAATCTTTGTTTACAAAAGTATCCCTACTTGGTCTATTTCTTATTTAAATCCTACATCAATATAATACAGAACTGCATATGGAACAGGGTCAGATTCACAAAATACTAAATCTCATGCTTTGCACTAACCTCAAGCTTTTACAGTTGCATAAAACTCGGCATGCACAACCTCTCTCTTCTCATTCCTTTTTAAAAGTGTCATTTCTGTAGTATTGTGCATAGAAAGATAGTATAGTAACTCCAGTATTAGTTATAATTGTAACGCTAATGTTACAATAATTAATTAAAATAACAGTTAAGTCTGTTTCAGTATTCTTTCATCACCTTTGTGTGTTAAGTTCTTTTTTTTTTTAAACTTTACGTTTGTGTATGTCTGTGATGTAGCTCTGACTCCTGTAGCTTGCTTTGCGTCTTTGACATGCTCACCGGCCATCCACCTCACCCTTCTCTTCCAGATCCACTTCCTCATGATTCTCTCAGCAAACTGGGCCTACCTTAAGGATGCCAGTCAAATGCATGCCTACCAAGACATCAAAATGAAGGAAGAGCGGGAGCTGCAGGACATCACCTCACGCTCAAAGGAATGCCTCAATTCCTACACATAAGGATATGACACGCTCACACTCACAATGCACACAATCATACACACAAGTAAAGACACATAGACACTGTGGCCAACCACTTTGGCCCCTTTGGACCAAGACAACTCTCTGCTAAAATAACCTGCCAACTGCTGTGATGCTGTGCAGTACTAACCAGGCTCCTAACAAACTAATGCATCAGTGCTGCTTTCTGCACTAACTCACCAAGAAGTGTTTTGGAACTGCTACTCCATATTTCATTTATTTTATTTTTTACTTTCTATTTTTCTGAAGGAAAATTCTGATATTCATGTAGTGTTTGATTTTCTCTAGCCCTTTTTATAGCCAGTTTTTGCTGGCGAAGCTTGAGACATTGCACTATTCTTATACAACGCATAACGATGACAGTTTGTTTCACAGTCTTGCTCTCTTTCTGTTTTTTGAGCTCTGGTGGCCAGTTTTCAACAAGGGAATGTAAGATTGTATTTGTTTGCTCTTTTTCATTCAAAAATGCAGATTAATTATAGAAAACATGAAAGGCCTTACATCCAATCTGAGTTAGTGTGCCACTTCTTGATGGCATCAATGTATAATGTACGTACACAAGACTGTGGCATGTCACGTTTTCTGAATTTTCAGTAAGGCAAAAAATCCTGCAAACATGGTGGTAAAAGTTCAAGTATTTACCACATGTAATCCTAGTGATAATGTAAGTTATTATTTGGTTCTACACTCATAATGATTTATCATTATAATTTTTATGATACAGCTACTTAAAAGCCACTCAGAACATTCATGGCCTACATTAACACTACCTCAGATGTGCACTAGAGCCTATAGAACAACTTAACTGGAACAAACAACACTTCTCCCATGTAAATGTCAAGTACAGTTTGAAAATCCTATTTTAATTGTCAAAGGATGCCTCAGAGATACAGTATGTATTATGTTAGCTGCAAAGTAAACCAAGCCAATTAAACCACATCAGGAGCTCCTCTACATCACAGTATCATAGGATTTAAATTGTATGCATAATGCCATAAGAATAACTTGCTTGCTAAATGTGGACTGCTGCCAACAATGAGACAAGGATATTCAATGCATTTAATATCTTAAAAGTTTGGTCCGTGTGTATTCATTAATGCAAATGAAAAAAACCCTGCCAACACAGAGAGCTCTCTGATCCCTCATACATGCTTTTCAGCCCATTATCTATTGTAATATCTGATGATATATTATAATATATGATCAAAATGTACTTGATTTTGAAACATCCTCTTATAAAAACATGTGTGACTATGTCCCACGTGCAATTGTACCATGGCAAAATCTACAGATCTAAAGAACTTAAGGTGTAAACTTGTTACAAGTGAAGGTTTTTAGTGTTTTGTTACTTTTGAAGATACACCACTTAATTTTTCTCTCTTAATTTTCTATAATTGCACCTGTTTTTAATGTGCAATTGTCATAATGCTGACATAATTACTCATGTAATCTTTTATTTCTATTAGTTGAGTTACAGGGATAACTTGATGTTTCTTTGTTGCATGAAGATAACTGTTACTGCAGTGACACGTGATGTACAGTCATGTATACTGACATCAGTAGTAGGCAGTGTTTGCCTGTTTCCTTTTTTTCTAACTGAATACAAATTAATCCATTTTATGTAGCTGATTAGTTATAGGTGTTTATTTAGGTTCTTTCATTTAAGTCAAAAGTATATGAGTCTTGTTTATTATATTATTTTGTTGCCTGATAGTATACCTGTATTTTTCTATGAATGTCAGGGGCTTCCTCGTGAATTACTGATGCTTAACTTTTAATTCAACTTTCAAGTAACAATAAGATGCAACACAAGTCATTTATAAAATTGTACGGCAATCTAAACGGTAAAATCTAGCCAAAGTTTGAATGCCATTGTGACTCCCTGCCCAGTGTTTTACACAGTATCAGAGATACTGTAGTGCAAAACCTGCATAAAACCATACAGTGACCGAGGAGAAAGATGACAGATGTACAAGAAGTACATCTCTGTACGCTGTGTTTCCTGTTGAATGAACCAAAAAAACTAAAGAATAAAGGCTACCTATCAATCACCACGAGGACAAGAATCCAGCATCCTGTCTGACTGGAAACCCCTTCATGACATTTCCGAACTGGCCTGTTGACTGTTTTTACGAAAATAAATAAAATAAGAAACTTCTCTCTGTCGTGTTTTTTCTTTTGTATGGTGGGACATCTCTTTTGGTGGTTAACAGTCAATCCAAAAGAAAATTACAAAAAAAAAAAAATGTATTCGTACATATGGCAAAACAACAAAACAAAAAATTCATATATACATACTGAAACATGAAATCTTTACATAAACAATACATGTTTTGCACTGTTAAAAACAGAACAAGTTTTTTGTGATCGCTCTCTGGGACAATCAGCTCACCAGAAATCATCATCTTCATCCTTGTGCGAGTATGCTGCAATGCTGGGAAAACAAAATGAGTTAATTAGTGGAAGCCACAAGGGGAAAAAAAACAGCTAAACCAAAAATAGTAAACTATTTCTGAATAAACTCATCCTTGAGACGACATAATTCCAGAACAAATAACATCATTAAAAAGAGCAGTAGATGAGAAACCATGGACAAAATTAAATGTTTTTGGAAGGGGATTATGTAGGCTTATATATTTATTAAACTTTCCTTCAGTAACAATGTTTGAATTAGAAGAGACTTATGTTGTTTTATGCATAAGTAAAGTCAACTGTCTTTAGTTACCTTTCGTCTTTCTCCTCAGACAAACTCTTGGCCTCTGGGCTCGTGTGTGCTGCTTCTTCTCTTCCAGGGCTCTGAAAAAAACACAAATACAGAAAGTCAAGTCCCAAAATCAAAGTTCTACAGGAGTCTCAGACACATGTGCGTGCAACTCACCTGTGCATGCTGCTTCTCTCTTGCCTCCAGGACCATCTTCATGTATTTCTCCAATGGATTTTCACCTTTAGACTCCTCCCCGTCATTATCTGCCTCTTGATTCTGCTCTTCATCTCCTCCTTTCTCAGTTTCAGTTTCTCCCTCTTCTCCTGGCGGTTGCTCCACCTCTTGCAAAACCTTGTTAGACATATGTTGTCAATATTCATTTCATTGGGATGCCCTTTCTTGGTAGACATAAAGATCAGAAAGAGGAGTTTTGGATGAACTTGGTGAAAGATAATCATTACCATCTCTTTCTCCAGTCTTTCAAGTTCTTGCAGCTCCCGTTCTCTGGCTTCCTCTTGTTCCCTTTGCCTTCGCTCTAGTCTTTCTTTCCGCTCTCTTTCCCACCTCTGCTCCTCAACTTCTTCATCTTCTTCCCTGGCAGATTCACCTGAAGTTTGTGGAACTTCTATAAAACATATGGATTGACACAAGTCAAATCAGTTGTCAGTCCATGGCTACAATATGACATATAAATATAGTCAGACTGATAGTGTATGGTGGCCATTGTGGATTGGGGTCAATCGAGAATACGCGTCAGTAACGGGTGGTGAACTAACGACTCACCCTCCTGGCACTGCGAGTCTACTGGGTCTTCTGGGAGGTCTGGTGGGCGGGGGACATTGGGGCCGTCAGGGGCCTCCTCGGAGAGAGGGACGGCAGTGTCCAGGAGAAGCTCTGGAATGTGTCCGGGCTCTGGAGGGAGACACGCACAAAGAGATCTTTTATGTTCTACCATAATGCAACAGGGCCAGAGGACCGGCACAGAATACATAATAAGTTGCCCTTCATCTTCACCATTGTGCGGGGCCACTGAAAGGACACTTTGGAGGCCAGTCACACACTCATTAAAAAACAGCCTTTCCAAAATCCCAAACCTACGTACCGGATATACTCCATTTTGTTCCTGGGATTTTGTTGAAAATAATGGTAATAAAAAAAAAACGCTTTTACACAAATTACTGCGTAATGACAAAATTGTGAGAAGAATGTAAGATTTAAAAGAAATACACAGGTGAAGCACACAAATAGATCAATTTGGCACTTTTGCACCAGTGACTCAATGCAATGTAAAATAACCAATATCTAATGTATAGTTGTTCATCCCAGGATACAGTGAAAGCTTTAACAGGACAAACTGTGCGAGTCCACTCGCTTATCATCTGCTCCATGTCTTCCAAACATTAAAAAAACAACATGAAACAGAACTGTACAGAGTACTTTACAGCCAACAGATGACAAAGTTCCCTGTTGATTAAAATTGTGCATTTACAAGGCGCAATGACACCAAACAGCGCTTCCATTGTACAGCAGAAATCACACTCTTATGTTGTATTTGCAAACTGGAGAAGATCTACAACGAGAATAAGGCTGCAGTGCCTCAAAGAAAAAGAAATACCAACAAATACTAGTTTAGGGTACCTGACAAAATCCCTGTGAGATCTTCAAGGCTTATTTTCTCAGGCTCTGGGGAAGACTCCAAGCTGGACAGCACAGGCTGTAACTTTAGTGGACTGAGAAAAATGAGGGGCAAACATGAAGGCATTAGTATTCACTATCTTTATGCGAATGTATAAAAAAAAATGTCGTCATGTCCTTGGCAAAGCGATGCCAGATGGTACCTGGACTGGTCTCGTGCTGTGCTCTTGAGCTGAGGACTCTGAGGTGGACTGAGCTCTGGGGAGAAGTCACCTGTGGACGCCACCTCTTCGTGGGGGGCATGAGGGAGCTGCCCGTCAGACGACAGCTCCATAAACGGCACCGGAGACACAACTGCTTCTATCAGGGGACACAGACTTGATGTTAGGTGATAACCTCAGGGAAGAAATATTATAACCCAAAAACTGAGGAACTGAAAATGTGTGCTGATTGCTTTTATGTTGTGGAACTTTAATCAAATATATCCAGTAAGTGTTCAATGTGCCGTATATAAGTTCTGATAACATTAAACTTTCCACTGCCAATAGATCCTCCTAACTGTTACACAATGGCCCTTTAAAGGATGTTGCATCTAATCTCTTTTGAACTGTTTATATAGGATAAACCATTTTTGGAGGTACCTTCTGAAATCTCTCTTTGAAGCTTTTTCCTGGAGGAAAAGTGTGGTGTGGAGGATAGACGTCTGGGTGGGGGGCTGCTTCCATCCTGAGGGCGTCCATCTCGTAGAAACAGAGATTCGGTAAATGAATGGAGACTGTGGTCAATGAAAGCTGTGGACTGTGGTTGGTTATGGTCTTCTGAGAAAGTCACTCTCGGTTGTGCAGGCGGTACAGTGTTTCTGGTGTCATAAGGTGCCAAGGAGGGGGTTCTGGTTTGTGGAGACAGTGGTCTGTGGGAGACCTTTGATTTGTGGGGTGAGTGGGTGTGTGAATGGTGAGATATTTGTTTTCTTTGAGGAGAGTCAGGGCGATGTGAAGGATGCGCTCTGGGGGGAAGCATGTGTGAGATGGTGGTGCGCACTGCCCTCTGCTGGTAGTTCCTGTAGGCTTCCTCCAAAGTCTCTGCCTCCTTCTGCAGCTCCTGGATCCGAGCCTTGGCTTCAGCCACCATCTCCATGTCAGAGTCTGGAGAGTCACTCCAAGGCGCCTTGTGTCCTCGTGAGGGCCCACCTGCTTCACAAACATCATCATAACCCACCCTGGCCCTTAGCAGAGCTCTGTCCACATAGATGTCAGGGGGAACTAGCTTGTCAGCGCCGAGCTCCAGTACTGAGCGATCAACAAGAGAGGGCTTGGGGTTACGTAGCACTTCATTTTCAAGAGCTGCCAGCATCGCATGGATTACACAAAAAAAAAAAAAGAGAGAGAGGAGAGAAAGGGAAAAGCAAACAAGAGGAGAGTTGAACACTAATACAGAAGACCAACCACCAAGAGAGCACAAATCAGAAAAGCATGGTCGCTACAAATAATTTTAAAACTGATAACATCCAACTCTTTACATGCATTTACACCTAGGATCTGGTATACGACTACTATAAAATGGCTACCTTTCTTGTTTGCTTTTTTTGTTAAAATGTGGTCAATAGAATAACATGATCCAAGAAAGGAAGCCAGTTTATGAAAAGCAGAAATAAACTAAACTACACAAGTTATGCATTACTGATTGTAATGATGATTCAAAGTACTAATCACACCAACACATGGCAGACGTGCATGCCCAGTCGTGGGGTACCTTGTTGAGTTTGGCGAAGCTGCATCTTGATGTCCTCAATGTGGTTATTCATCCACTGTGACTTCTCCTCACACTCTATCAACTGAGCGTTGAGCTGAGCGCACCGCTCCACCTGCAGGAAACGGTAGGAAAAAGGACATAACACGAGAAGTTATTGTACGGCTCACCGGAAAGCCAGATTTAAGGACAAACGACAATAACACAAAAAAAATCCCCAAAGTGAGACAAATCCGTATGAAAAAAGCTGACCACATAGTTTCCCACACTCAGCTAGAGGCTGTGATGTGACTGACCTCACTCTGGAGCTGTGCCTGCAGCACCTGTTTGTGGTTGTCAAACTCTTCCTCATCCAGCCGACGAGCATTCTGCAGCTTCCGTAGCTCCATCTGCAGGGCCAGCTGCTCTTTGGACGGCTTTCCCAAATCTGAGAGAGGGGTTATCATAGTCAGATCAAAAGCTGGTTCAAAAGTGCATTGTTCCTGCCAGTCCAGTGTATATTTGGGAAAGCTACCTGGTGAAATAATATCTGGTGACACACAGTTGTTTTAAGTTAGGGTGTCATTTTGAATCATTCTCCAGTTCATTTTTTGGGCTGTATGGATCTGACCAGCATAAGAGTACAGCACACGAAGCTTAGCAGCACCATGTTGCTGCCTTTTGTTAGTGTTGAGGAGAGAGGCAGACTGCTCCCCTGCCCTATCCTCAAACAGGAAGAATACTGTATCTCAGAGAGAGGTAAAAATGTTCTCTGGCGTAGGTAAAGGGAGCCCTCTGTCTCTGCTCACCCTTCACTCCACTTCTCATCCCTCATTCCCTCACTGGTTCCTTTTTAGAGAGTTGTCTGCAGAGCTACAAACACAGCACAGAGGCCCCACATTGGCAGGCAAGACACATTCAAAAAGACTCAGCGGAGCCAGAAGCAGTGGGACAGACTAACATGAATGCTTCACAGTACACTGCATCTCCCACAGCTCACAATGAGCCCAGACTCCAGCACTCTGAATGCATCATAGGAACAAGCTTTATCTCAGTCATAAAAACAGACTACAAATATTCCGAGGTACTGGTTTTCTAGGTTTAGATATTATGAGCAAAAATAAGAAACCACTGCATTATTACAGACAGAAACCCCTGTTTCTATTATTCCCTCATTGTAAACGTAATAGGAAAATTGCAGCTAGTCCTCACCAGCATGGAGAAGCTGGTTCTCCTCTTGGGCTTCCTCCAGCTGTGTCTTTAGCAGCCGCAGCTTCCCCTGCAGCTCTGCTTTCTCTCTTTTCAAACTGGGGTAGTCACTCACGCTCTCCAGTCTCTCTCTCAACAACTCCTTCTGCTGAGTCAGCAGAGAAATCTGCTGCTGTGCTGTGTCTAGCTCAACCTGGAAAACAAAAGAAGAGACAGAAAGAGAGCAGAACATAAAACTGGAGACTCAATCAATGACATTATGAAACATACGAATGTTACATAATCACACTGACTGACTGAATGTTTTGTCTGAATATTATACAAGTGCTTAGTTATTAAGTAGGACTGAAATATTGTGAAGATGGTGAAGTTAACACTGCTGTAAGACTGGATGGGTTGTGTTGTTTACCTGAAGCCGCCTCAGCTCTGAACATGCTCTAGTGTGCTCCTCTAATTTGCCATTAATCACTGCTGACTCCTTCTGGATACGAGCAGTTTCCACTGAGAAATAAAATAAAAAAAGAAAAGAATGTAAAGTCAATAAAAACACAGGAAACAACAAATCCCGTCTGTAACCTCGGACTATTTGAAATACTCACTTTTGTTTCTGTTCTCATTCTCAGTTAGTTTTTCTGTTCTCCTGATAAATTCCTCCTTCAACTCAAGCTGATACCTAATTTTATAAAGACATGAGAACAACAATCACAAAATCAACACAGCAAGTATTAACAATACCTACATCCTTTCCTATCAGAAAAGAGTCCATCTAAAGAATCTTAAAATATTGCTTTATCATTTGGCTAAGTGGATGTTCAGGTCCCCTACTGTATGTCATAAGTCATAGTTTTGATGTAATAACAAATGATTGGCATTACACAGATATTCACTTCTTGGACTTTGGGGTCTAAAGAATACCCGATGTCTACTTATTTACTGACAATCATTCAGTAATTAAGAATTCACTCTGAGACTCACAAACTGATGAAAGACTTGGAGACGGACAGTATCCGCCTGAGAAAGGTAAATATTTAACCTGAGACGTAAAGTGAACTAACAGAATGGATAAAATATATTAAACGAGACTGCATGTGTGTAACCAACTGCATATGTCTACCTCTAATCATCTGTTAAAATACCTAGAAAGTTCATTCTTCAGCCTTTGGTCGTACGTGTCCTCCATAGTCTTCACTGCCAGTTCTCTCCTCCTCAGCAGGTCTTCCATTGTCTTGACTTTCTCCTCATGTATTTGACAAGTCCTATCATCATACAAACACGGTGATGTTCTCTATGAAGCAGTGGTCACAGTGAGACAGCATAGCACCTACTACTTTACATGAATGGGGGAAAAAAAAAAAAAAGCTCTTACTTTTCAAAAGCCTCCGTTCTCATCCGCAGCTCGTTTTCTCTGTTCCGCAGTGTTTCAATTTCTTTCAGGACTGATTGTCTCTGCATGTACACATTTTTTTCTTCAATCTAGAGAAAAGAGAAATACAAACAACAGCATCGATAATACAGTTTTAGATTTAAAGAAATTAAACAATTGAATACTGTGGTGTTGAGATATATTTATCTGAGGTTTATCTTAAATGTAAAAACCATTACAACATTATAATATTAACCGTAATCTACCTCTTGTTGTTTTTGTAACCGATCAATGGCATTTTTCTCCCGGCCCATCAGCGCCTTCGCCTTCATTTCATAAGTCCTCTCCAGCTCTTGCTTGAGCTTATCAAATTCTCTGTGAAATTTCGCTTGTTCTTCCATCCTCACCGTGGCGATTTCAACATCTTTAAAATGTTGCATCTTAAAAAAACAGAAGACACAATGTTGAGGCCACGTGACCAGAAGGAAAACTCTACACGATCACATATTAGCCACACATAAAAACATAAAACCTTTTAAAATGTTTATTGCAGACGAGAATGCAGCCGGGCTTCATATAGTTTTTAATTCATTCACTTTGTAGGAAAATATATGTACCTTTGTGTTCATTTCTGCTTGCATCTGTGCCTCCATTTCTTTCCTATAGGCAGCCAGTTTTGATTGGAATGAAAACCATTTGTCCCCACTGTAAGTGAAGCTCTCATATTCCTTATCAATCATTTTCATCTTCTCAACTGTGCATGAAGGAAAGGAGACGTTGCATACCGTGCAATGAAAGGCGTGTGAGTGGAATACAGTTTAAAGACTTGACTTCATCTTACCAAGAGACTCTCCACAACTTGCTATGCTGGTTGTCTGAGTGTCAGCATCCTGGCGCAGCGCGTGAGTGTGGTGGGGTGTCAGCTGTTTCAGAAGGGTGACCAGGAACCCTACTAGGCAAAGAAGAAATATATCAAGCACAGGCTGATAACAGTTGTGTTAAATGCAACTGAATGCTGCACATACCTTTGTCATCTTTGTTTGAAGACTGTAAAAAATAAAAAATAAAAATTATACACGATTATTACACACGAGATTTATTTCTTATTTCAAGAACAATATTCTACAAACTGAATCTTATTTTTAATTACCAGGGATCTGAAAAGGGCTGATTCGGGACTTATTCTCAGAAGCTGAAGAAGGTCTCCTTTGGTGGAAACCTGCCGAAATGGATGAGAGACCAAAACCTTCATCTGCAATGATGTTCTTAAGCTACAGTGCATCAAGCATGTGAAGTGTATCCTCACCTTGTCTTTGCATAGGCCACTTTCAGGGTGGAATACAGACAGGGTGTACTCATAGCCAGAGGTGCGGAGATGATCAGCCACTATGCTGTTACAGGCTGAGACGAAAAGGGGTTCAGATTTCACAGGTACTGGTCTGGGAACTGGTTCTCCTCCAGTCAAAGGTGGGTGCTTTAACTCCTGGATGAGCTGATTCCGCAGCTGAGTCTGAGTCAAAGAGAACAAGAAAAACTTAAGACCAAACTCCTTCCAACATATTTGTTTGGTTCCTTTAGACTACAAGAACTACAAGAACAAACAGCAACGTTAGGTAGAATAACTTACTTTGAGTGTATCGAGAACTCCTTTATTTTTAAAGGTCTGATAGAGTCTCTTCCTCAGCTCGTCTGGCGATAACGTGTCTTCCTTGGCCGAGGACATAACTGCGTTGTTTGGTTGTATCCTGACAGAGTGGAAACAAAAGTGGACAGCAGCACGGTAAAGCTAACATGGCGAGCTAGAAAACAAAATACTTTTCTACAGCCTTTAAAGCACTCTTACCCGGTGTTAGCCTGTCATCACCATCTCTTAATACCACAGATATCTCACAAAAAGAGAATAATTTCTCTAGCAACCAGCCTAACAACCAGTGAACGTCGCTGCGTCCCTTTATAGAGGCGGGGCTGCATTTAAACCCAACGGACATTCTTCTCTCGCACGGTTGTGACGTAGCGGCAGAATTAATATTATTATTATTATTATAACATTATGTATCGTATTTTTTTAAAGCATCGATAATTTATATGAATCTGAGCTAAAAATCTAAGCCGCTAAACCGTTTTACAGCAGTTAACTGAGATGTATATTTGGCTGTTTGGTCATGTCGTCATCTCCTTGCGACTGCCATCGTATCTCTCCAGGAAGCGAAATTAGCAGGTAAACAACAAAAGTCTGTTGTTTCAAAGTAATGCGAGTTGTGCTTACGTGGGATTCTTGTAGTGTTTCTGCTTATAAAATGTTTCCTTTAGTCTCACACGAATCAGTTGAAGACTTAAAAGACACCGGGCGTCTGTGCAGTTTTGTGGCTAACGTTAGCTTGCTGTGCTAAAGGTTCACAATCATTTGGTTGATGTTGACACACATTATTAAATTGCTCACCCCGTTTCGTTTGGTTTGAATGGTTTTCAGGACGCTTTGGCTTTGCTAAGAGGAAGGGAAACGATGTCTGGGAGTTTTTATTTTGTCATGGTTGGCCATCAAGACAATCCTGTGTTTGAGATGGAGTTCCTGCCATCTGGGAAGCCTGAATCAAAGGTAACACCAAGGCTTTATTAACACCTGGTTATAAGATAAGATAACATATTCCTTTAATAGTCCCACAGTGGGGAAATTCCAATATTACAGCAGCAACGTGGATAGAGAAAAACTGACAGTATAAAATCAGTATGAAAAAATAATATAATATAAACAAGAGAAAAAACAGTAAAAAAAAAACCCACAACAGATAACACAATAACACATTACTGACAACAGAATAACTGTCAGGATATATAACCATCCACACTACACTGTCTGTAATGGAAGTAGTACACGGCCTTCACAGTTATTTATAGGAAGTGATAATGCCTGTTAATGTGTTATGTTGTTGTATAAGATTTGTTTCCTGTTTGTTTGACCACAGGATGACCATCGTCACCTGAACCAATTCATTGCACACGCAGCTCTGGATTTGGTGGATGAAAACATGTGGCTGTCCAACAATATGTACTTGAAAACTGTGGACAAGTTCAACGAGTGGTTTGTGTCTGCGTTTGTCACTGCAGGACATATCCTTTCTTCTATACTATTTGATTTTTACTTTCATGTTCCCTCGCAGAATACTTAACTTTGAAACAAAGTAGCATAGTACATGTATTATTTTATATTTTATTAATTGCAATTCTGACAGAAGAGACTCACAAAATAGTCTACATGGCTAGTATAACATATTTAACTCATTTTAAAAGGTATACATCTGTTATTTGGGTATCATAATACAATAACAGAAACAAGTAGTCGACAGTTTTGATAATCAGTTCAGCGTAGTCATCCATCAAGCAACAATGCCAAATATTCATTCACCCAGCTTCTTAAATACAAAGGTTTGTTTGGTCTTTTCTCTTTTTTTATATCATTATTGAATATCTTTGAGTTTTGGAAGATGTTTTATAGAATTAATAGAAAAATTAATCAGCAGCTCAGTTGATAATGAAAATAATTGTTTGCTGTAGCCTTACTGTCATTATCTAACATTTTAGTTTGCAGTATAATGGGATTATTGGTTTAAAAGTCAGTCACATGGTTGTCATTCTGTATAGTCATATTCAATGAATTTATTGCCACGGCTTTATTTTCTTTAATTATTTGCCGTACATATAAGATTCATCATGCTGCATGATGTGCGTCAAGAAGACGGAATCAAAAACTTTTTTAACGATGTATATGATTTATACATTAAGGTAAGTTCTCTTCCATATGATTAGGATAACTTGATTACCTTTTTTTTCCCTTCAGTGTTTGATTTAATAATTTATTCTGTCTTCCAGTTTGCAATGAATCCATTCTACGAGATCAACGCACCGATCCGTTCTACAGCTTTTGAGAGGAAAGTACAGTTTCTTGGAAAGAAGCATCTCCTGAGTTAATCACGACACCTGCAAAATATGAATGCATCTTGTCTATTCGTTGTACATATACCTAACATGCTTGTTTGATGTCTGTTTGTCTTTTCCTGTTTAACACATGTAAACTGTATTCAACACAGATTTTCTATAAAACATTTTATTGTTTGATGTAATTGTAAAGGTGATGTCTGCTTCTTGCATGGGGAGGGCTGTGGGTATAGTTATGGCTGATTATAAACATTAGACAGAGTTTAACTTATTCCAAAAGTGCTGGTGAGATAATGATAATTAAAAAAACATTTCAATTAATAGACACAATCTTGTTCCTTGTGACGTACTTTATCAACTGGCTTAGGCATCATAACAGTGCAGCGATTAGAAAGCACAACAGTTCAGTTCAAACCTTATAAGTTTTCAGCCTATAAAATCAAGCTAAGAGACCATTCTCAGGGGTTTTATTTATTGTTTGGCATACCAGTAGTACAACTTTGAATATAAAGGAAATCTGAATGAGAAACAGTTAAGGTAAATGGTTCACCATTTCAAATATTAAGCTGTGGGGACTTTCCAAGTATAAAAAAAATGTTAATAGAGTGCTTTAAAGATCAAAATCACCTAAAACAATAAACCCAATAATTAATAATAAAAAAAGTTGATTCAATCATGGCTGCTATTTCATTTCACCTCAAGGAAATATCGATTCAGTGATTTATAAGGTAAAAACAGTTTAAAAAATACAAAGTTTCCAGAAACTTAAATACACCATATGCCATGCATGTTATCTTTGCTTTAATATTTATCTTCTGTTAGGGATCTTGTCCCCCAGTGCTTCCAGCACGTAGCCATAATCTATTCACAATGCAGAATGTGCACAAACAAGAACTAAAGGTGCAATAATCACAACAAGCCTCCAGTTGTTAGTTACACAAAGTAGTGCCATAGCTACTTAATAATTCTCAGAAATAAGGTTATTGGGCTGTATAAATTACTTAATTATGCAGTTATCTTGTGAATATAAACATATAGGCCATCACTGCATTACATTAGGGAGTGAAGTTCAGAAACCCTTTGATAATCACACTCCAAGGTAGTACACATCACACACATATGTTAAGAGTCACAGAATGAAACATTTATCCATTTGAGAGGAAATTAAACTTTTCAACTGGCTGCTTCTGTTCTATTAGGACATATTTTTAGTTACTCACAGGTGGTCTTGTACCAACACAATACAATTTCTTTGTTACCCCCCGGAGCCTTTTGAACTATGGCAGACTGACTGAGAGATTCAGTTAGTTCACGTTTATTTGTAATTAGACGGGGGCCAATTTAGTGTTTCCTATCTTTCTCTTCAAACAAAAGTCTAGCTATCAACATGATCAAACCTTCAACAGTATGACAAATCATAAAGCGAGTTGCCTCTTTTGTTTAAATAAGATGTCACTACAGCAGTGTGCACCTACAGCCTCATCACATGACAGGCAGAACAGCAAATGAATGTTAGTGATAACTCCTGGATGTTATGAACAGCAAGTGGCAGCAGAGCGAGGCTTTCTGTGGAGCTTGACTGTGTCTGTGGGGATGAGGTGGTCCGTTCTTTCATCCAATGCCAACACTCTGCGCACTGCCTCCTCAAAGGCCACCGCTACATTGGTGGCATCCTTGGCACTGGTCTCATAATAGGGGAAGTCGCCGTTCTCCTGGCACCATTGCCGAGCCTCCTCAGCTGACACCTGCCTCTCCGTCACGTCCAGTTTGTTGCCCAAGACTACGAACGGGAACTTCTCTGGCTCCTTGACATCTGCGTAGTAGATGAACTCCTTCTTCCAGTTGCCCAAGTTGAGAAAACTCTGGCTGTCGTCTACACTGAAGGTGAGCAAGCAGCAGTCAGAGCCACGATAGAAAGGAGTCCTCAGGCTGCGGAAGCGCTCCTGGCCAGCAGTGTCCCAGATCTGTAGGGTAACCTGGTGGCCATCTACCTCCAGTTCCTTGTTGAGGAACTCCACGCCAATGGTGTGGAAAAGGTGTGCATCGAACTTGTTGGTGACATAACGATTCATGAGGGAGCTTTTTCCTACACCACCATCACCCAGCAGAATCACCTTCAGCAGAGATGTCTTTGTTGTCATGGCTGTTCCCTCCCGTTCGACCACGTTATAATTCAGAATTTACCTTTTGAAGAGATGAAATGTGCAAAACACGTTATTATTGTCTGTACAACACCACAACCAGTTTGAAACACAGTATTGTGACTAAGAACCAGTTTACATTTACAATTGTTTACTGCAGAGACAATTCTTTGTTGGATGTTTTGTTTCTGTCTCACCCCTGGTTGATTTTGGCCTCCTCCACTTGTCCAGATCATGTGCTGCAGACCCTGGGCCGTGGTCACATGCTCATGTGTTTAATGTTGATGTGAGCAGCCATGTAGGTGACGTTCAACCAACTGAAACATAAAAGACATGCAATCAGTTTCCTGATTAACATTTGGCCCAGGACAGCAGCTATTGTTGAGAAAGCCCATTACGATGAAGCATATTCTGCTACCATATGTTCAATACACTGCCTTTAAGCCAACAAGCTGTAAAGATATAGCTTGTAAAATATAACGTGCACAGAGACAGTCTGAGTTGTGGGTTGTCAGCTAGCTAAACTGAGCTCAGATAAAAAGAAAGACAAGGGAAAGACAAGGGAACACACAGCTGGAGTTAGGTTCATGAAACACACTCAATTCGCTAGCTCAGGTTTACTTACTTCCACTTTTAGACCAGGCCGCTGCGGAATGAACGAGGGATAAAACACGAAACAACTGGTGTGATATTATGTGTGACAGCTCCTCGGCTCTTTGGACTGGCTCCAGATAACGTCAGGTCACACCGTTTCCTGGTCGACTCCAAAGGCTCGGCGCTAACGCAGCTAGCTGCTAACAGGCTAACGATACATGGACGGACTCGGGTCATGTGATCTTTCCAGACAGAGCAACCAACGAGCGACGAGGTACCGTTACCGTAGAAACCTTACAACTTATAAATACAGTATTATTCAGAGTGTAGATTATACCGCTCTTATTGCAACAAAAATTAACCCCTTTTAATATTTACTTTTAAACCCAGGAAGAGTTTTATTAGTCGACTAGTATAGACATACTTATTTGTATTGTTCATGCACGGCCACCAGAGGGAGACATTTAGCTGTTATCTGCTAGTTTGACCTGCATAAAATCCACTCAACACCGAAAAAAACTGGGTGCTACTTGTTGCATTGTGACCAGATTTGTCCTGAGATGTCCAGTTAACAATACCACAATGTACAAATACTCAAAACGTTATAAAAAAGTAACTAGCTCCGTTTTTTTAAAATGTTTTTTGTCATTGTTTCAATAGCTGTCTCATAGGTTGTTAGACAAAACAGTCCTCTCTTTCCCCTTTTTGATATTAGATATCTATGTTAACATGAAAGCATACTTTCTCATTCAAGTTGGGTATTATTGACTACCACAACTATTTCTGTAATAAAATACCGGCTCAGGCATTCATAAAATGCATGGTTCATTTGTGGTTGCATGTCTTCAAAGTCAGCAAATTGAATTCCCTAAAATGATCCCCATGCTTTCTCATATTACCTTGGAGTTTTTTCCGCCTTGTAATACTATCTTATGATACTGCCACATTCCCTTCCATTATCAGTCTGGGTGAATTCTGTTTGTAGAAAGCAAGATTATAGGCACCCAGGTATACAATCATACAATATGTGGGCATAAAAAAAATAATGGTAGACAGAGTTAGAAAAAAAACAGATTTAATGCAGTAGTACAGTTTAATATGAAAGCACAATGTACAGCAGATATGCACTGATAATTTTTAGCATTTAAACTAACCAGCCTTCAAAAAAAGATATTCATATAAGATTGAATTTCTGATATAATTCACCTAAGAATTCACATTACATGTCATAGATTATTTTCAATTAACTTCAGCAATATCACATACACAACAAATGACTAAGCACAATACTGTTAAACCTAACTAACAGGCAAAGTTAACATTTCCACGTATTCCTGAGATCTGAGTTGTCTGTATCGTATCACGATAAAGAGAATGTAGCAGGATGTATTGACGTAGCAGCATGGTGATAAAAATGAACATGCTTGCACTGGCTGTACGTAAACTTCCCTTGAGATCATTGTGTCTGGATGTCCTGAGGCTTAACCACATTTTAAAACACCATAATACAGACAGGAAACAGGAATCTTTGACATGTGTCAGTTAGAGCAAATTTTCAAATTGTAAATCTGCCGTGGAGATTCTTAAAAGATGGGGCTGACATCCTCTTGACAGGGCCCTGAGGTCAGCACAACATTGTCTAGCCCAATCTCTCCTCCAACACCTTTCCCACGCTGAGCTTCGAAGACAATCTGAAAGAGAGTCAGTGCTACCATTTCAGACTGTGAACCAAATTAATTAACATTTTAGACACTAAAATAGTCACATAAGCACTGCATAAACTTATAATACAACAAGTGCTAACCTCCTGGTATTACAGGTGTTAATGTTTTTTAGCAGTTTGTCTGATAGATGACAACCATCTATCCATACGATGTCTTATAAAACAAGAAAATAACTCACAGATTCTGGTGCCTCCTCTTTCCAGGCCACAGTGAGGAGCTCCGTCTGCCACCCCTGGTCTCTGCTTCGGCTCTGCTCCCATACAGGGTAAGCATTGTTATCCAGCAGCACCCTGAGGGTTCCCACATTGTGGCCCACCACACGGTAGTCAAAGGTGAGGCAGAAGCTGCCCTGCTGGGCCCGGTCACTGAGGAGCAACTTCAGCTTGGCTATATCCTCCTGCTCCCCTATGAGCCCACTCATGGCCATGTAGTACGCAGCACCTGGACGAGTTTATAGCACTTATAAGTGAATGAATGAAACTTAAATACCTTGTAAAAAAATATATTAATAGTTCTGTTACCATCATTGTGGTAGGCTACGCTCCAGTCTATGTCATCAGCCTTGTCTTGGAGCCACTCACAAGCCCCCTGATCAAAGTTGCAATCCATGATAAACTCTAGAGGGTAAAACGATTCGAGCACATTAGCAAATTACTAACATAAACAGTCATCATATAACAATTGCACATAAACACATATTTGATTACCTTCCTGAACTGGTGTTATTTGGATTTCTTTGACTTCTTTGGTTGGGCCGAAAACTGCTTCAAAGTCCTCTGATACTGTGTGTAGAGATTAGAGGAAAAAAATCTATTTTATTTTATGAATTTTCAACTAAATAGACACCCTATTGCCTCTAAAAGTATGTGATCTTAAAAAACATTCCAAATTTATGCAAAGTGATTTTCCAAGATGAAACAAAAGCCAGGAAGGGTCTTTTAACCAACAGGTGTAGACCTGCCCTGCTGTCACTCATGTCTTCAGATCAGGATCTAACCCCCCAAGTATTTTAAAGCTCTTGTAGCAACCCAGTGACAGCTGGGGTTATTGAACCTGCTCAGCCAGAGTGGGCTAGTGTTAGAGAGGTCTAGAGTGCTGATGACAGACTTTCCTTCTAGGAGTCAAGTCTGTTTGCACAACAGCTGTTTTGGGGAAAACATAATAAAAGGCTTGGAGGCTTCGTAACCTCCTTCCCCTCCTCGCCCTCCTCCCGGGAGATGAGAAGCAGGCCCAGGATGAGTTGTATCCCTAGGCTCTCACATGCCGACAGAGTAAAATTCCTCCCCGGAGGTGATGGATGTCTTGGGGCCTGTCTCCTCTTGCTATCTTGAGTTCTTACACAGACTCAGGTGTTTCCATGAAGATAAAGAATAGTGGTGAAAGGTAACCTCATTTGTGGGGTTTCTCAGTGAGGTGCATACCACTGCATGACCACACTGCCCACACTTTTTATCTGATGAAAGTGTGCATTTGTTGCCGGAATGTACATGCATACACACGTGTAAATGTGCTAGAAGCCATTGTGTCTCATAATCAATAGATTGATCTTGTTTTAGCCAGTGTTTTAGAAAATGTCCGATTAGAGTTGACAGGGTCTTGGGTTACTGACCATATTTTTACAATGCTAAAGGACAAGAAAGTTAGAGTGCTTGAAATTCTTTATGAAAATAATCAGCATAACTGGGGTGACTCTGACTAATCACATGTGTTTAAGCATGTTATTCGATAAAAAATAGTTACATTTTATCCCAACAAAAACCTTCCAAAATCTTGGTTGGTAGTTGGTTGGTAGTTGGTCTTGGAGGGGCTCTCTGATCAAGATCTTAGTCCTGACCTGCTATTTTATACTTATTTTAGCTGCCTACTGAAAAATCGATAATTGTATTCAGATGCTGTGTGGAGCAAAACCTCTGTAGAAACAGAGAGTTTGTTTAGTCTGTGAATAATTAATACATCGTGGACCACCCAGACTGCCAGAAACAGAGTTAGTGCAAGGCAGCCAAACGAAAAGGACACTTACTGAAAACATCTCCCCTTGGATTGAGCTGGTTGTCTTCGTCTTCCTCCTCCTCTTCTTCTTCTTCCTCAGGAAATTCATCTTCCTGTCTCACCTCAGTCTGAGGGCCAACGTAGACCTCTCCATCATAGTCAAAAGGCTGCTGGCGGATCCTAGGGGGTGGCGTCGCAACCGGTTCAGGAATCACATTTTTGATGTCCTCCTTGTTCAGCTTACCTCCCAGAATCCTGGGCCTCACTTGGGAGTCTGGGATGGCTGCAGACAGGAAAGAGGGATCAGATTAGACATGTGGAACCGCAATCACGAGTGGGAGATGCTATGTTTTTACCAGGTTTCCGACATGTTTGTTGTTTGTTGTCATATATTTTGCAGCTGCTGTTCTTGTTCCACTCCATGCAGCTGAAGCACGACAGCGACATTCATTGCACATACCGTAAGCATTTTTATCACATTCTGTATATAAAGGGTCATGCTGAGGGTTTCCAGGTCTCATATCAAGCTGTGTGTGCTGTGGACGTACAACATTTCCAGCCACAAGCAAGGGAAAGAGTTTGAGGAGGTGTTTGTAGAAGTAGGCAAGACGAGGGAATGAATGGGGTTGCAGGGCGAGGGAGCGAAGAGCGGAAGCAGAGTCTTTGATTCCACACAATCTCACCATTAAGGAAATCATCTGCACTGCCTTTGTCTCCATCCCACGACCTCTGATAAAACGGCTTGACTACGAAAAAATAAAGGCATCTTCATACACGCTGAAACCCCTGGCATATTCTCTTTGGCTGCATGAGGCTTCACCTGTTATTATCTGGGCCTGGTTCAAAGAGTACAACACAACCTGTCTTTTCCTTCTTCCTCTTCAGATGGCTGGCTACAATACAACATCATATTTACACAGGTGTGTTTTCAATCTGTGGCTCTCTCTTACTAACATCTGTAAAGAGGAGTGCAGTCTGAAAGCAGGAAGCTAGCCTTGGCAGGACTGTTTGCTGATGTTTAAAGAGTCCAAGTGAAATATGTGGCCATAAAACTGCTCCTGACTTGGGAAAAGGCCTGAGACATTTTTTTTTAGAAATGTTTCAAAATCTATTGCAAATGGCTTTATTTATAAGTTTTATTACATATGAAAAGGCATCCCTAAAACTCCTAACTTAATTCATAATTCTGTGTAGCAGTTTTTGGATCTCACCAGAGCATTCAAAGCCATTGCCTCTGAAGCCAGACTTGCACCTGCACTTGTAGGATCCTGGAGTGTTCAGACAGTCAGCATGGTGGCTGCACTTGTTGTTGCCAGATGCACACTCATTAAGGTCTGAAATTGGAAGAAGCCTATTTGTACCTTTAGGACCAGAATTGATCACAAATGTTTCCCGGTGATAAACTTGAATACCTTACCTACACAGTCATATTTGCCGTCAACATATTTCAGATCGAAGCCCTCCTGGCACTTGCAGTAGTAGCTGCCAAAGGTGTTCACACATTGTCTGTTGTATGGGCAGAGGTTCTTCCCAGTTACACATTCATCGATATCTGAAGGGAAATAAAAGGGGAAACATTGAAGGACCTATGACTTTATATGTATGATGTTTTAGTCATTTAGAAAAAAATACAAGCATAGTTGTACCCAGTAGAAAACCTTATAAAAGAACAAAGGAGGCACCCCAAGAGAACATAGAGAACCATTAAACAATGCACATTACATTGGGCAATATTGAGAAAATCACTGTTTTTATTCTTTGCCTTCTAATAACTGATAACAATTTTCCTGGTATGGGTTTAGACAACCGTGTGCTTCCTCTCATTCACATGGAGTCATCAGCAGCTCATTTTCATCTGTCAGCAGGGAGCTAAACCCTAAAACCCCGTCTCTGGTGTACTGAGTGTGTTAGTGTTGTTGACCATGATCCCCCACTAGCCACCACTGCTCATTGGTGTTTAATGTGGCGCCTGGCCAGGCTGGAAGCAGTGCTTCCACTGAGTGTGGTAACTGAGCTATTGATATTGTTATGGATGCAATGAACTACTAGGAAATGTGCACAACATGTTTTTTGAAGCTAATAGTAGCATTAGTAATGTTTTTGAATGGGACACAGTGCCAGATGGTTGGTTGTCAGCCTATAGAGAGAATAATTTAATAAATGTACCTTTGAATTTTCATTCAGTCATATCATTATGTTATTTTACTTAATATCTAACTACCGGTATGCATGTTTTCACATGTATCTAATTATGTTCAGCAATTTAAAGCCTGGGCCTGCAGCCAGGTCTATCTTATGTAGTACCGACTGAGATTTTGCTACATTATGTTTAGCTCAGGTTGTACTTTGAATTATTAGAATCTACTTTCATGGATACAGTACAGTTGCTTCTGTCTCATGAGGGTTCATTATTTGTCTGTAGGACAACTGGGAAAAAAAATACTTTTTGGTACATTTTCACAGTAAAAGTGTACTTTTGCTGTACCACTATTTTTGAATATGTTGCATTCATAGTCATCCTGAATTTTAATGCTCCAGAACTATTATATTACTTCCCTGTATGATCAGTATGTCAGACTGGCTCTGTCATAGCTCAGGCATTTTTGTGGAAAGAAATATAACTTAATTGCACCCATCTGATTTACAAGCCAAGCATGCAAAAGCCACATAATAGAATGATTACCAAATTGTTCCACCGGGCAAAAACTCCCATTCCATGAGACGGAAACAAAGCGAGGTCAATAGTTTTTCAGTGTATTTAGAGAAGAATTACTGCTCCATCTGATTTTTCACTCTCCTTACATCTTTCTTTGGGTTGTCTCATATGGTATGGCATTTCTAGCATTACACTATGCAAAAAAATATTAAATTACTATGTTTATGATGTATTACTGTGTGAGTGTGGTCGCTCACCTACGCAGGTCCTCTCATCTTGCCCAAGTTGCAGCCCGGCAGATGGGCAGAGGCAGCGAATCTCCCCTTGAACTTCCTCACAGCCATATTGACAGTGAGCAAGAGAGCATGTCCTGGAATCTACATGCATGAACACAAACACACAAAAACACACATTTATAAATATGCAAACACTGAAACTTTGATTTTCTTTATGTATCCACTTATAGATTGTAGCACGGCATTACTCACTGGCACAAGATCCATCAGGCATCAAGGTGTAACCATTGAGACAGTAACACTTGTAGCTTCCATAGCTGTTCATGCAGCGATGCTCACAGGGACGAGGTTTGAGGCCACACTCATTCAGATCTGGAAAGAAGAGTCATTTTTTTCAAACACCTTCTTTTCTAAAACCTAAAAAAAAGTTTTAACTGAAATGCTGTTTATTGAAACACAAGAGATAAAGATTTGCTTGAAGTAAAACACAACTAAAATTAGCAAGTAAAGCGAGTTATCGGCTGGAAATTAGATTATGCTGTACCCAGTTTGACCCATGTTTTCCAGACCCTCTTTACCGACCCCGAATACCCACCTTGATTACACGTCTTTCCGGTGTATCCAGGGAAACACTTGCATTTGTTGGGGCCAACACAGTCTCCGTGCTTGCAGCCGTGCTCACATAGAGCTGGTAAAACATTTAACAAAGAGAAAACACCACCAGAAATATCAGTGGTTTGAAAATGATGGATTATAGTAAAACCACACATTTCTATTATGCAAAGTAAGGTATTTCAATCTAGACTGTCATTTCCTCTACATTGTCTGGGTTCAGACCTCTCATGGATAAGAATAAAAATTGTTGGGGCATTGTTTATTGTGGCAATTGTATTTCTTAAAATATGTATTTTGCTCATTCAAAAAACATTGTGTGAAGTGTCACCTTTTGGTGGATATAAATGAATAAAACATACATATGACAAGTATCCTTCATATATATATATATATAT